TATGTCTAATTGCCACTCTCGATAGGTTCGAAGATGAGCAACTTTGCTGATGTTTTGCGGTTGCTCTATTTGGCTCCCAGACACAATTTTTTATTCATTGATTCGTCTATGTCACGCCTCCTTCCTGTAGGCTTATACGTGAGTGGTGGTCTCGTGATTGACTTCGATTAATGGATGGTCTCATTTACTACTTTCCTCTGTGTGTCACAGGTAGATTCTTCGGAAACATAGAAAAAAGATCGAAGTTTAGATTGAAGGCTTGTTGTTACTTAACCGATCGCGGCTGATCGTTGTTGATGTTGTATTTTCTAATCGTTGCGTTCGTTAAAGATGTACAGGGCTTCATATAATAGCCACCCGTGTTTGCGGGGCTGATTATGGTGTTATGGTCTGCCCCGATATTGGTGATATCTGCCGTGAGAGGGCTCCTTCGTGAGAAGAATTTATAGAATTTGTAAGAGAATGTTCGTATGTGATACGCCACTCTCTCAATTCCGACTCGCTTCAGGAGATCATTTATTTGAGTGTATCGATCGCTATCCGTGATGATAAAGAGTACTTTATTTTGCATCATTTTCAGCGTTTGAAGAGGCGTTTTCTTCAGGCTGCAAAATACTCGACAGGCGTATACCATTGCTGGTCTAATCAGCTACATCCCATGTGGTTGAATTTGGAGGTGGAAGTACAGAACTATATTATATCTAATATATACAGCGTGTTTCTTAAACACATGCTAACATTCAAGGAGGTAATTCTTAGACCCATTTTAAGAAAAAAACTTCCTATGGACGTATGTCCTAAACGTCTTAGCTTTTGAGATACAGGGTGGTAAAGTTTTCAAAAATAATCAGTTTTTTAATAATAACTGAGATAATTTTGTAGACATCTTTGGCATATTTGGTACATTGGTATTTCAAATCGTTGTCTAGCTTCATCATATTGGACACAATTTAGCAAGATATGTTTCACTGTTAGCCTCTGTCTACATTGTTGGCATATTGTTCATGCCTGAGAGCATGAATATGTTGGTTAAGTTGGTATGACCTATTCTCAAGCGTGTAATCACAGTTTGTTCTCTTCGTGTCTTTGGATTAGAATGCCTCCAGGGTGTGATTTTTGGCTTCACCTCTTTCAATTTTGCTTCTGTTTCCTCCCATCCAGTTTGCCATTCAGTTTGTTCAGTTTGTTCAATTTTCAAAATCCAACGTTTTGAGGTAACTGATGAGACGGTTTTATTGGGACACTCTATACTTATAGGAAAATGATCCGTCATATTATCACCAAGGTAGTACCATCTGAACAAAGGAGCAAGAGTTGATGAGCATAGGGCATATGGCTGATAAGGAGCGAGATCTCAGATTCAGAAAAGTTCCTCCGCCACTATTCAGAAGTGTGAGGTTCAGATCATCAATAAACTCTTCAACTTTCCTTCCACGAATGTCAAGTTTTTCAGATCCCCAGAGTGGGTAATGGGCATTAAAGTCCCCCACAATCAAGTAGGGTTCTGGGAGTTGGTTGGCTATTGTTTTAAGATCATTTAAGTTCCAGTTGTTGTTGGGTAGGTAGATACTACAGATTGTCAAGCTAAATGGAAAGTCTATGTGAGCGGCAACTACCTCAAGATCTGACTGTACTTGGATTGTGTTACCGGGAATATTGTTTCGGATTAATATAGCTACTCCTCCTCTTGCTCTGAGATTTGGTATACCATCTTTTCTATAGCTAACGTATCCTCTCATTTGAAAATCCTCTTGAGATTTGAGGTGGGTTTCCTGCAAGCATATACAATATGGATTTCTCTCTACAATTATTTTCTTTAGCTCAGGATAATGAAGTTTACATCCATTACAGTTCCAGGNAAATGAGATTAAATCTAGTCCATCATTAAGTATTTTTAAAAAACAATTATTGAAATCTATCATTGTATTGGAGCTGCACCTTTATTGCAATGTATTTTTAATAGCATATGTCGTTATTTTTCAAACTAAAAATATTTATTTTCAATTTCTATGTTAGTAATATGTTTTATATAATATTGTGTATTAGGATTACCTATTTCAATAAATATATTCTTCTTCTTCTTCGTATTCTGTATATTACGATTATGATCTTGTATCGTTATGATGCATTGCATTTTCTCTCTTTTGATGTTATGATGGAGTATATTATGATTAATTAGATGGACCAACCTAATCATCTTCTGTCATGGCTTCCAAATTGACACAGACAGCAGAATACCTGATTTTAGATTCTATACTGGCGATCTATTAGCACTAGAATCCAGAAATATCACTTGAATTTATCTTTTAGTCATAATCAACATAATATTTCAGCTCTCACATTCGACAGAAAAAGTTGTCACGAATGGCGTAAATTTCTATTTGGAAGGATAACGGAAATCCTATTTTTTCCCAAAAAAATATTTATTCTATTATATTACAATTTTTTATTTGTTTCAGATATTATTTCATATATTCGCCTCCAGCCATGTCCAAAAATGTCTCAGATTCGAACCCAAAAAACGCATCGAAATTTGGCGGTTCGTTACATACATGCTAGTCCATGATGATTGGTACCATTTAATGCTGAATGTTGTCATTCAGTGCATATTTGCTATCCTACTGGAAAAAAGACAAGGACATCTAAGAGTTGTCATTCTTTATATATTAGGTGGAATAACTGGTGTTTTGGGGGCATCTTGTATTCATCCGGACCTCGTGATTGGTGCTTCCGCTGGAGTTTACGCTCTTTTGATATCAAATATTGCGGACATTGTACTGGTGAGTATCAGATCAGCAAGAAAAGAATCATCTCATGTTCAATACTACGTCGCTATTCATATTGTCATACACGTTAATTTTTTCTTATTAGTCAGTGGGCTATGCATATGCAATTGGCAACACAACTGAAAGAGTCGACCTTCAATTTTGGAACGGTCACACTTGCAGACCGGTTTCGGGCTCCTTAGCCACTCGTCAGTACAAGATAGTGACCATCATCGACCTAAAGTCAATGATATTCCGTAATTGAAAATCGAAATTCTTTCAGAGTATTTCATTCCTCTTCCTAAGCTGGAGCGAAAAACAAAATGTCACTCCATCTAGTGGACGAGATACTAACCAACTGCATATCCGAAATTTGCTCGATTTCTCCGAGTAAGGAAGAAAAACTTTCTTATTAGTCAGTGGGCATATGCAGGAGATTTTCTGTGAAGATTCCTGCACTGACGCCTGCCGGATATAATCCAACGCCGTTCGTGGTATTAGCCAGTGGAGTAGTTGTTTTCTGATAGGCGTCAGTCCATTCAACCTACTGTATAGGTATATCCGAGACGGGCTTGAACATTTAAAGTTCATTTTTTTACCCCACCTGGGCGACGCCGGGTTAATAATATTGCAACACCACCACCCTTCATCTGTGCTCTATTAGAGTAACTGGTCAAATGGAAACCATAAAAGTAGTATGATTGTAGCGAACAGACAGAAGACCACGTCTCTGTCAAACACAATATATTAATATTGAAATCTTGTATATCTAATAAAATACTGTATATTTTAGTCTTATTAATGCACTGAGCATTGGCCAAAAACAGGGATGGGTGAAATATTATGTCTTCACTTGAGACCTCCTTGTTAGATCTATAAAACGACTTACGCATGCGCCCTGTGGCCAAACATTGGGATCCATTGCGTCTTGAAATTATTAGCGAAAATAGTAACTTTATATGAGGAGTACAAGTCCGGATACTTGGGTGTCAGGCTTTCACAAGTTACTTCCGGAAAGTGTTTCTTAAGCAATGTTGAGAGAGAGCTAGACTTATGCTTCGGGTCTCCCTTGATATCAACATTTGAGTTGTTACCAACAATAACCAATCGTTGTTGGCGATTCTTTTTTCTGCTGTTGACTTTAACCCAATTATTTTGATCTAATGCCTGTGAGCTTGTTGCTTTAGGTTAAGCATCATCATTCAAGTGTATAATCTCATTCAGTTTAATTTTTGTTTGTTCCTGTAAAACAATGTTAGATAATTCATTTTCTTTCACAGGTAGATAACCCTTTTCCGGTAAGAATTTTTTCTCTGTTTACTATTGTTTGGATGAGTAGGTTTATTTTTTCTAGGAATCTCCGTTATATTGGAATGTATGTTCTGTGTTGTTGAATTTTTGTTTTCTTTAATCTCTGGCAGTTTTTGTTTATGCGGTTTTGTTCCGGTAGTTTAGGTTCTGGCAATTTCTGTTGTATACCCCGGTTCATTAGTTCAATATGATCATATAAAATGTTTACTTTCTCTTTGAGTTCTTGGATAATTATATCTTTCTGCTTTATTATGTAGTTAAAAATATTTAAGTCTACCTTTTTATCCTGGCCGACTAAATCGGTGACTGCGTCAAAAAGTGGTATGTCGCATTCATTTGTTGGAGTATTGACACCTGGAACTATTTCTTCACTATCAATGAGCACAATGATTTTTAGGTACTTAATACAGCCGTAGTGTATAACGGTTTCACATTTTAAACATTTCATACCACTTTGGGCCTGGACTTTACATTTTTTGCATACTTTTGAAGAGAGCGATATATCTGACTGATTGTTTGAAGGTGATTGACAATGTTTCATGATGAATTTCACTAGTTCGGACTTTTTGTTATTTTTCAGCTATTCATTTTCAATTCTTCTTTTTTAGTTGTTTCAGGGATTTCAAATCATTTTATGTAGTAGACAATGTAAGTCCGAACTAGTGAAATTCATCTGACTGATTGCTAGTCGTCGCCATCTTGAAATTCGAGTGTAGAAAAGGCATTTCCCCACCAAGGACTCGTAATCAGAACAGCCATCTTAACAAAGTACTGGTCTGGATTAAGTCTGCGGAATTCGAAGAGAAAATATCGATAATTCGTCCGTTTTTTCTTCTCTGGGATGTTAGACCGGGAGCTGAGAACTCCCGGTCTAACATCTTCTTTCTCTGAGGGTGGAGAAGAACTACATCAGGATTATTAGATTGGGTGAGCCTGAGGGAGAAAAATGAATAGTTCAATACTCCCTGGAGCGAAAGGCAATACCAGTGTCTCGTCAATACCGTAAAAGTGCTGTAGATGGTAATAAAGTATACTCAGGGTCGCGTTGAGTCGATAGATGTAGGCTGAGACCATATGTGTTAGACATGTTAACAGCAAGTGCATTAGGGTCTCAGGCGCCTCGCCCAAGACCTCAGGCGCCTTGCGACATACCCTTCACCTTGTGTCAGGAACCTCTATATCTACAAGCGACTGCAGTAGATTAGGGTGTTGAAGACATCATCCTGACATTCTTAAGAAATGGTTTAGCCTGGTGTGATACAAAAAGTTATTTTATGTTCCCTCGTTTTGTTCCCCTTTCTGTTTTTCATTATATGCAACAAATAAGAATGTCGAGTAGTGATCAGATATATTAGTTTAAATAATATATGCGTTGATATTAGTTGCTTTCTTATTTTTTCTGGCGAAAATGTGATCAATAGTTGATTTACAGTTTTAGGTTTCTCTTGTTGTTGTATTGATATAGGACATGTAGCCATTTTCGTTAAGAACATTTATGTAATTATTCACAGCAACAGATTCATCATTTTGTAAATTGATATTTATATTCATCACAAAAACGTTTATATCATTTTTGTTCAGATTCCCAAATGATGTTTAATATCATTTATGTAGCTAATTATATTCGTTGATGGAGGTCGATATGAAGCTGTAATATTCATAATATATCTATCACTATTTGTAGAGAGACTAAGTAAGTTGATTTCAGTTATGGGAATAATAGTCATCTCAGATGCCAGACAACTTTTTGAATAGACCAAGACGCTATCATTTTGATTGAGTTTTGAATTATTGTAATGAATTTAAAAATCTGGTATTTTAAAGTCACTCATCTTATCCACGTGCCATGTTTCAGAGAGAATTATAATATCAATTTCTTCTTTCACTGGTTCAATGTACACAAATTGTTCATCGAAGTTCTTTTTTGAAATTTTTTTCATTTGAATTTATAAGAATTGTATCTTCTATACATTCTTAGTTTGCTCCTCTCCTTGTTTTAATGTGTTCAACATGTACATGAATTGAATTAGACGTAATTGTTCAATACATTCCTATCTCCAAAAATGTTTCTTACAACAAGAGAGTAATGGAAGGATTTTTTAAAATTGAAATAGATTTGCTACAAGAAGAGAAAGTAATACTATGAAAATTATGAAACTATAAAAGCATCTCGAAATCCATAGGTATGCTAATTATAATCTTCTTTGCTTACTTGGCACTGAATTGTGTTTGTGTTTATATGAGCTAATATTCAGGATATTTGCTTTCGACTGCAACTGGTTTATTGTTAGCTATAATATCCCAAGGACATTGATAACTAACGAAATAATTTTATCACAGTTTTCGAAAGCACGTTATTTGGTAACATCCCGTGTATGTTGCTATAAGTTTTATCTGATTAGACATGTTTGTATGTTGCTATATTCTGACTATTCCTATACAATGTAAATTGTCGATTGGAAAATAAAAAATTGAATTGCACACTCTCACAGACAGCGGTGATGTTTTTGTCAGATCTTGCGTTTCGTCGACGTAACGGGTGTTGGTCGATCGTTTATTTTACCAGTGGACTCCAATTTATCCACCACATTGCGAATAATCCTCTCGCTAGGACGAATATGGCGACTGTAAAATGGGCGAAGCGCGGTATGTTGTCCGAACAGAACCACCAATTTTAATAATAGTTTTATGCACGACCGGTATATTTGATGTCATGTAGATGGATAGCTCTTTATATCTAGAACACGATAGAAATACATCAAGACTACCGTGAGGCCATATTCATATCATATCGGAACAGAATAAATTAAGAAGTGATGTAATGAATGTTACCATGGCAACTCAGTCAATTTTCGAAATAAGGTTATATAGGCTAGTAGCCATATTTGCTGTCAATTTTTGTGATCACAGATAATTTATTAGTGATATTGAAAATAATTCAGGCGACGAAGAAAGTGTGAGTTGTACTCCACCAGAAATGAAATAAGTAAAGCAGCTGAGGATGAGAAATTGAGTTTATTGCCAAGTAAATCCAAGAAAATATACGACGAAGTGTATGAAGAATTCGTGAAGTGGTGCAAAGTACGCTCTCTGTGTAAGAACTACACAGAGAGCGTACTTCTTGCCTATTTTCTGGAAAAATACAATTCAGTCACAACTGTGTCGAAAACCTTCTTAATATAATAAACAGTTAGTTGGCCCCCAGATACTTCTCCAGAAGGTGGAAGCATGCGATCGTCGTCATGCTCCAGAAACAGGGTCAGAACCCGCTATTCCCACAGAACTATCGCCCGATCAGTCTGCTTTCGTCGGCGGCTAAGCTGGCTGAAAAAGTCGTTCTGCAAAGGCTCAACGAAGAAGTTGAGGGCCGAAATGTTCTGTCTAACGAAAATTTCAGATTCAGGACAGACCACTCCACCAAGTTACAGGTTCTAAGACTGGTCGAAAACACTATTCAAGAACTAAACAACAACTGTAAAGTTCACGTTGTCCTTTTAGAAATCTCGAAGGCCTTCGACCGAGTTTGGCACGAAGGCCTTCTTCACAAACTAGTCGCGTTCGACCTGCCTCGGGGCCTGATCCCGTGGATTGGGTCTTTCCTGAAAGACAGAGTGCCACAGGGAGCTGTGCTCTCTCTCTCGTTGTACTCACTCTACACCGATGACACGGCTCTCCTCTCATATTCCATGGGTCGAGATTCTCGGGATCGTCTACATGCGACGTGCATTGGACGACCTTGAGCTCTGGTACCTCGAATGGAAGATCCGAGTGAACCCGGAAAAGACTCAGGCGATAACCATGAGAAGAACGATGTTTTCTCAGGCTAGGAAAGTGAGGGTCTCTGGAAGGGAGATCGACTGGCAAGTGCGAGTAAAATACCGCGGCATTCTAATAGATCGTAGGCTAACCTGAAACCCGCACATCGTATCCGTTAAAACAAGGATCGAGGACCGGATAGCTGGTCTATACCCTCTGATCAACAGAAGATCTGAAATGAGTCTAAAAACAAAATTACCATATACAACACGATGTTCAAGCCTGTCATCATGTATGCTTCAGGCGTCTGGGGACAAGCGGCTCCGTCTAATATCTCCATTCTGGAGAGATTGCAAAATAAGTTAATACGGATGATTGTGAATGCTCCGTGATTCGTAAGGAACGAAGCCATCTGCAGAGATTGCAGCTGTCTTCCATTCAACAGTCCATTCAGTCGAGAAATCGGCGTGTTTTTGATTGCGCAGAAACTCACGATAATCCGTTAGTTAGGGAAGCTATAGATTATGTTGTAGACGACCCTTCCCGATAGAGAAGGCCCCGACACTTGTCTAATGAGGCCCTCATGTCCCGCGTTAACAGATGAACAATTTTTCATCCATCTCACCCCAGTCAGGTAGGGGTACACCGTGAAGAGCGGTACTAATGTCTGAGGACATTCATACCGCCATCCCATGATCAGTTATGACCAGTTTGTCCTTCTGACAAACACCAGTGTAATACTCCAGTCATTTAAACTTAAATTAGGTAAAAATCTCGGAATTCGAGATACCCAGCTGTAAGTCTGTAAATACTTGTATATTGACACCCTAAAAGTTGTCTCAAAACCTACATATGGTAGGGTGTAAGATCTATTTTCGAATTAAGGTCATGATGAAATATTCCTGTTCCTGTAAAACAATTTTGGATAATTCATTTTCTTTCACCGGTAGATAACCCTTTTCCGGTAAGAATTTTTTCTGTTTACTATTGTTTGGATGAGTAGGATTATTTTTTCTAGGAATCTCCGTTATATTGGAATGTATGTTCTGTGTTGTTGAATTTTTGTTTTCTTTAATCTCTGGCAGTTTTTGTTAATGCGGTTTTGTTCCGGCAGTTTAAGTTCTGGCAATTTCTGTTGTATACCCCGGTTCATTAGTTCAATATGATCATATAAAATGTT